AAAAAGAAATTGACCCTCCCAGTCTTGAAACTTGAGAAAGTTACATTTGTCTTATCCAAGTTCCTTTCTCAGGAAACCAACCATCAGGGCTCCCAGTTAGTATCAAGGAACTGAAACTTACCAGATAACCACATCGGGGCTATGAAATGCCAGACCCTTCGCCCATCACGATTGCCTACTCAGGGGTCCCCAATCCCCAGGCCATGAACTGTAACCCATGGCCTGTTAAGAACTAGGCTGCACATCAGGAACTGAGTGGAGGGTGAGCGAGCATTACCAACTGAGCCAGATCAGCACCACCGTTAGATTCTCATAGGATCAGGAACCCTGCTGTGTACTGTGCATGCAAGGGATCTGGATTGCCTGTGTGTTATGAGAATCTAATGCCTGATGATCTGAGGCGGAACAGTTTCATCCTGAAACCATCCCCCACACCCCACCCTCACCACCGTGTGTGGAAGAATTGTCTTCCATGAAACTTGTCCTTGGTGCCAAAAAGGTTGGGGACTGCTGGCTTAACTGACCACCTGCTTCCTATTGACCAACTTCTCTTCCTTACCCCTTCCTAATTCCTGTTTTTCTACACATGGCTACATTTCTTCCCTGCTATATAAAACTCTAATTTACCTCTAATTTTACTTGGTCAGGGAGATGGATTTGAGATTAATTTCCCATCTTCTTGGCTGTGGCACCTGATTAAAGCCTTCTTCCCTGGAAATACTCACTGTCTCAGTGATTGGCTTTCTGTGCAGTGAGCAGCAGGACCTAAACCAAACCCCTGGCATTTTGGTAACATAAGAACATGGGTTTATTTATCTTCTTTTTTTTTGAGACAAGGTCTTGCTCTGTCACCCAGCTTAGAGTGCAGTGGCACAGTCATGGCTCATTGCAGCCTCAACATTCTGGCTCAAGTGATCCTCCCACCTCAGCCTCCTAGTAGCTGGGACTACAGGCACCTGCCACCATGCCTGGCTAATTTTTTCATTTATTTCTGTAGAGATGGGGTCTCTCTGTGTTAACAGCCCTTTATTTGCCTTTTGATTTTTCTCTTGCTTTAGAATCCTCTCAGAATGTTCAACTAGGGCCACCAATTCAATCATATCTATAACTTTCCATCCTGGTGTATGTTTTCTAATTAAACCACTAAATTTAGGATGAAGTCCATTTGCAAACAGAGAAGCTAATGCCATTTCAGTCTCTGCAGGAAGCGCCCCTTGTGGTATTTCAAATCCAGCATGTTTTATAAATAGTGTTTCTAAATGGGCTCTGTAATTTGAAATTGGCTCATCTTTTTTTGTCTGTAAGATTGTATGGTAGACCAATCAACTTTTTGTGGAAATATCTTAGGAACTGAATTTGAAAGGTCTTTGGCAATTCTTCCAGCTTCTTTCTGTCTTTCTTTTCAGGAGGTTTTGGGGAGTCTTTCACATCCTCCCTAGGTTGGTCCCATTCCACTGCTGCTATCCATCTTCAAGCCTTACCAAGTCCCAATAGCATCTGAATAAACTGTTAAAGATCAGGGAATCCTGGATTAAATGCTCCAATAAGGTTTCTGAATTCCTTAGTACATTTCCAGGGAGTTTTCTTGGGGTTAGGGAGGTCATTTACAATGTCTCTAAGCTCAATTTTAGACCATGGAGTAGAGTTGATTATGGCAGGCATGCCTGCCTAATCAGAGGGTCTCATTTTGCAAGCATTTACCTAACTTTCCTTTTTTCATTGTCTTCAGAGTGAAAGGATAGCTGGGCAAAAGGGTCAGCGAGCTCAGAGCATTGAGGTAAGGACAGATAAAGAGAAGGAACAGTCAGTGTTAATTCAGTCAAGGTACAGTCCTTTTTTTTAACATCCTGAGTTTTTGCTTAAGATTTTCCTTTGCCTTCTGTCAGAAATTTTTTAGGGAGGCAATTTTTTATTAATTTTATCTTCTAGATGTTTCTCTGCACCAATTAAAAATTACATCCCATTGCATTTTGGATCTTTTCTTTTCCAGTGTGCTTCACAAGTAAACGATTTTATCTGGGTTAAAACTTCCCTGTAGTGGCCACTTTAATTCTAAGTTATCTTTGTAAGGTTAACTCATTTTTCTAAAAATGTGCAAGTCCTGGGTCCATAATTCTTACACATAAAATTTGCTGGAGTTCCAGAAGACAGGGTGCCAGACTCCTTTGATTCAGATGAACCTATTGTCAACAGGGACCTAGCCAAAAACTGTATCTGGATCCTATCTGGATAATTATCAAATCCAATTTGATCTTGGGCCCTGTTTGTTCAAATGAAGTCTAGAGAGCTCAAAATATAATTCATGGAGCTCAGTCTGAGAGGGAATTAACAGCCCTCCAGTTACAAACAAGAGAGGCGTGAGCACAGTGGGGTCTGCGGGTACCTCCCTGGTACCTCTGTGTTCCTGGGGCTGCCAGAGAACGCATTTGGATCCCATTTCTGACACCACATCTGTTAAAAATAAAAGCTTTAGACAATATAAAAACGTAATAGAGTTTATTTTAAACAAAGAACAATTCATGATTTAGGTAGCACTCAGAATCAAAAGAGATTGGGAGTGCTTGGCTGCAGCAGCATGAGCTGTGAGCTTTTACAAGGAGGGGAGACAATGAAAATGTACCTGATGGGTTTAGTGTGGGAAGGCCCTGGCCAGAGGTCAGTTGGTGTTAGTTTTGTTTTACTGTTTTATACTGGGCTCTGTTTACCTAGAAGCTAAAATACTGGCCTGTCTCTGTTTAATGCCCTCCTTATTATGATTTTTTTAAAGCAATAAGAGTGTACTAAGTAGGCTGGAAATGGTGGCTCGAGCCTGTAATCCCACCAATTTGGGAGGCCGAGGCAGGCGGATCACTTGAGGTCAGGAGTTCGAGACCAGCCTTGCCAACACAGTGAAAACCCATCTCTACTAAAAATACAAAAATTAGCAGGGTGTGATGGCGGGCACCTGTAATCCCAGCTACTTGGGAGGCTGAGACAGGAGAATCACTTGAACCTGTGAGACAGAGGTTGCAGTGAGCTGAGATCATCCCACTACACTCCAGCCTAAGGTGAGAATCCAGCTCGAAAAAAAAAAAAAAAAAGAGTATACTAAGTAAATATTAGTTGTACTATGATTTATAATTTCTTCTTTCATAACTGTCAGAAAGCCAGTTTTTAATATTTTGACAAAACTTTTTAAAACTTGCAGAACAATCATAATTCTTCCCACTGATTATTAAGATTGTTTTGCACTGTTCACAATAGCCAAGATATGGAATCAACCTGTAACCATCAACAAATGAATAGATAAAAAAATGTGGTGTATACACACGATGGAATATTCTGCAGCATTCCATTGTGAAAGAGAAGGAAATCCTGTCATTTGCGACAAACATGGATGAATCTATAGGACACATAAGTGAAGGAAGCCAGGCACAGAAAGAGAAATTCTTTCAAATGTGGAAAAAGAAAATAAAGAAAAAAAATTCTGCATGATTTCACTTACATGTGGAATCTATAATAGAGTTAAACTCATTAATAGAGACGAAGAGTAGAGTGGTGGTTACCAGAGTCTGGGGAATGAGAGTTGGATTGGGGAGATGTTGGTTAAAGAGTATAACACTTTAGTCAGGGCTGAGCACGGTGGCTTACGCCTATAATCCCAATACTTTGGGAAACTGAGGCAGTAGGAGGGCTTGAGCCCAGGAGTTCGAGACCAGTCTGGGCAACACAGGGAGACCCCATCTCTACAAAAAAAATAAATAAATCAGTTAGCCAGCATGGTGGTGCATTCCTGTGGTCCCAGCTATTGGCTTGGTGCAAAAGTTATTGCGATTTTTGCTAGTATTTTAATGGCAAACCTGCAATAACTTTTGCATCAACATAATATTTGAGAGGCTTAGATGGGAGGATCACCTGAGCCCAGGAGCTTGAGGCTGCAGTGAGCCATGATGTACCATTGCACTCCAGTTTGGATGACAGAGTGAGACTCTGTCTCAAAAAAAAAATAAAATAAAATAAAATAAATAAATAAATACAATTTTAGTTAGGAGGAAAAGGTTCAGGAGATCTCTTGTACAACATTGTGACTGTAGTCAATGCCAATGTATTGTATACTTAAAAATTGCTAAGATAGTAGATTTTAAATATTTTCACCACAAAAAAAGTGAGATAGTAGGTGTGTTAGCTTGATTTAGACATTCCACAAGGTATACATATATCAAATCATCATGTTGTACTCCATAGATCAGGGGTCCCCAAGTGCCAGGCCATGGACCAGTGCCAGTCCGAGGCCTGTTCGGAACCAGGCTGCACAGCAGGAGGTGAGCAGCGGGCGAGCAAGCAAAGCTTCATCTGTGCTTACAGCCGCTCCCCTCACTCTCCCCTCGCTCACATTACTGCCTGAGTTCTGCCCCTGTCGATCAACAGCAGCATTAGATTCTTATGGGAGCACGAACCCTGTTGTGAACTGTGAATGCGAGGGATCTAGGTTGTATGCTCCTTATGAGACTCTAATGCCTGATGATCTGACACTATCTCCCATTACCCCAGATGGCACCGTCTAGTGCAGAAAATCAAGCTCAGGGCTCCTGCTGATTCTACATTATGGTGAGTTGTATAAGTGTTTCGTTACGTATTACAATGTAATATTAATAGAAATAAAGTGTGCCATAAATGTAACGTTCTTGAATCATCCCGAAACCATCCCCTCTATGGTCCATGGAAAATCGTCTTCCATGAAACCAGCCCCTCATGCCAAAAAGGTTGGGGACCACTGCCATAGATAAATCTAATTTTTATTTGTCCGTTAAAAATAAATTTTTAAGGCCAGGTGTAGTGGCTCATGCCTGTAATCCTAGCACTTTGGGAGGCCAAGGCAGGTGGATCACAAGGTCAGGAGTTTGAAACCAGACTGGCCAACATGGTGAAACCCCGTTTCTACTAAAAGTACAAAAAAATTAGCTGGGCGTGGTGGCAGGTGCCTGTAATCCCAGCTACTTGGGAGGCTGAGGCAGGAGAATTGCTTGGACCTGGAAGGTGGAGGTTTCAGTGAGCCAAGATCATGCCATTGCAGTCCAACTTGGGCGACAGAGTAAGTCTCCATCTCAAATAAAAATAAAAATAAATAAACTTTTAAAAATTTGCATTAAAAAAGTTGCATAGTTTTATGTTGCACAGTTATTTTTACCATCCCACACTACTATGCAAGTGAAGACTGCTTTTTTTTTTTTTTTTTTTTTTTTTTTTTGAGACGGAGTCTTGCTCTGTCACCCAGGCTGAAGTGCAGTGGCTCTATCTCAGCTCATCACAACTTCCACCTCCCAGATTCAAGTGATTCTCCTGCCTCAGCTTCCTGAGTAGCTGGGACTACAGGCGTGCGCTACCATGCCTGACTAATTTTTGTATTATTAGTAGAGATGGGATTTCACTATGTTGGTCAGGCTGGTCTTGAACTCCTGACCTTGTGATCTGCCCACCTCAGCCTCCCAGAGTGCTGAGATTACAGGTGAGAGTCACCGCGCCCAGCCAAGGACTGCTTTTATATGCTCTTGGAAGTATACGCGGCCTCCATTTCTGTCACTGTGGTGACTCCACTTATGCTTTCACCATGCCAGTCCTAAGGCAGCCGATGGCTTAGGAAGTTCAGAGACTGAGATGTTAAAATCCTTGGGGATATCTACCAACATGTCTCCATTCCATCTGTTAGGGTTTTTCTAACCTGGGCCCTGACCTTAGCACAGACCTGCCTATTTTTTTTTTTTGAAGTTCAGCCACTGGACTATTAGCCCTACACTTTTTCTGTGCTGCCATTGTGGGGCTCAAGGAGCTTTGCATGCATCCACCAAGTCTGGCTTTCACACCTGAATTTCACACCTGGCTTTCACCCTCAGCTGCTCCATCTTTCTGTGAAGCATCAGTGTCACTTAGCAATACCCATCCAATCCCATTATCCTTATGTCCACCTTTCCCTTCAAAGTCTCGGGTGCCTGATACATTTATTGTACCTGCTAGTGCATTAAGTTCCAAGTCGTTATGATGAAAAATATAACAACTGAATGGCCACTGTGTCAATGGTGCCTGGGCTCTGCCTGCCACCAGTGACGGGGTCCTCACAGCCAACCCAGTGGTATGTGACCCACTTCCAAAACCATCTTATTGCCTGTTTTCTTGGACCACTCTTGATATCAACTGTTTCATGTTAGAGTCACTGGAAATTTGGGTTATATTTATTAGAGATCAATACCTATGAAAAATGTGAAAGGAAGCAGGATTGTGCTGAAGAAGATAAACAAAGAAGATGACTATGATGTCAGCCCAGCAAAGCCTTTGGCCAACCCAGCAGAAAAATCTGGAGCAGGTACACCTTTTCAGAGCCACCCCAGTTAGGTCAAAATGGCTGTGCCTTTACACCCACACTTCCCTCAGTCACGGGCTTTGGGCTCTCCTGGATGTGACCTCAGATGAAGCGGCTCACACAGCTGAGGCTGACCTTGACCAAGCTGACAGCTGAAAGCTGTTTGCTGACCACACTCACACAGCTGGGCAGCATGCCCTTGCTTGAAGGAGGACTTGGATGACACAGCTTTATGTCTACCATATTTTGGGGGTCACATTCCTCACACCCAGCTCTGCCTCAAATAGCAACATGGACAAAAATTCATTCCAGTTGCAAACCAATTGTAGAATAATATAAAACCACAGTATAAGTCTAGCAGCATAAATCTCATCCTAAGTGGAAAAGAAAGGGTCATTTATTCACACATTTTTG